AAAAAAAAAATAAAAATATGAGATTGCAGCACAGGTAGGAAATACTGTGAGTGATGGTATCAGTAAGGAAAAGTCAAAGGTGTTCACAGCAGGCACAAAGACAATTCAAAAACCCCATTTCAATGGGGAAGATGAGGGAGGTTTGGGAAGGTGAAGCTGTTGGACGTATTGAGGATGAGACGGGACTCAAGGACCACATAAAACTGGCACAGCAGTTTTTCTGTCAATGTCTTGTGAGTGTTTAAACAGATGTGTAAAGCCTGTTCCTCCATTAGATCTGTAGTTTCACAGACAGCAGTGGACAGAGCCTGTGAAAGTCACACTGCTCTCCCAAATACCCTCCTGCCACTGCACTGGGGCATTATGAGGCCGTTTCTGTACTGAGGATACAAACCTAGAATACCCATTTACACTGTGGTTATAAAGGGCAATTTCTCTGCCTCAGTACTAAACAATTGACACTGCTGTGCATTATGAATCACGTTTGAGTTTAGACAAGATTCAGGTGACAAATTTCTAGTGTCTTTGACAAAGACGGTTATTATACAATTCTTTTATTATCGACCCAAGAAGCCAGAAGACCTTTCTGGTTAATGGAAATAGTCTGTCACACTGCAGAGATCAAGTGAGGCAGACACGTGAATCTCTCCAAGTTTTTTACGTACCTTTCCAAAGCTTCCTTTCCCTAGTACTTTATGGAAGATGAAGCTGTCTATGTTGAATTTTCTCCTTGCAATTCGTGATGCTGTCTTGACTGTGCTTCCCTCCCAGAGCTTATCATACTCACTGTTATCTGCTGATTGAAACAAGGAGGTTGGAGTTCAATGTATGCAGAAACCCTGCATGACTCAGAGCCCCTGATAAGAATTAAGTACTGACATGCTATTGCACTGCATGTGCTGCTGGAATACTGACAAATACTAACATAAGGGTCAACTCCTTTGGTTTATAACACAGTTGGAATTACTTGACTGAACTTCGTTTGGATATGAATGGAATCTGTGATTGTTTCTAATGCTGAGTTTAAGCAATACATAGGCATAAAAAAAATTAAAATCAAAGGCCCTAACCTTCCCCTGTGACTAAGACATAGAACATCATTTGGAGAAAAGATACTTCAGAAGGACTGCTTGTAAATGAATTATCATAGGCAGAGCAGGATAGTCCCTCAGCCCTCACTGAGACCATAAAAATATCTGATTTAAGCCCAATACTGGCCACAATCATACATACATTTATGCACAATCATAGAATTTAAGGGTTGGAATGGACCTTACAGATCATCTAGTCCCAAGCCCCTGCCATGGGCAGGGACAGTTCCCCACCACACAAGGTTGCTCAAGGCCTCATCCAGCCTGGCTTTTAACACCACCAGGACTGGGGCAGCCA